TGTAATCAGGAATCTCGGACTGTTTGCTGTAAGGGAATTGAATAAATTAAAAAAAACTAAACCGACTTGGTTTGTTGGCTATTGAAATTATAACTTGTGACTGAGTATTGAATATTTGTTTTCTTCTTTGCTATTTAAGATGTACGTAATATTCCTTCTAAGCATTAAATATCTAGGTTTCCGAACGAGGTCCAATGTGTTTGAGAAAAATTAGAAATACATTGCTACCAACGAATATTATTACATATTAATTATTATAAATTCATCTTTTCAGCTCTGATCTACATTTGTTGCAGAACCCTAATGACTTCGAATTCCAAACAAGTCAAGATTTCGTCTTTTGAAATCCATTTTAAATTGTAACAATGGAGTTACATGTGGCTCGCAACATTTGTTTTTACTGCTAGCATATTTCAAGAAATAGAAACAAATTAAGTTACTGAATATAGCATTATTATGTAAAAACCTAAAGGTAACCAACATAACTGAAGATGCCGCCATTATAATTTGTATTTCACTCACACAGTACCCAGTCGAAAGGGGGAACAAAAGCTTTTTTAATGCGGCTGCACTACAGAGCTGTTGTTCCTTTTGTAAATCACTTGGTTATTTTAACGGGTGAAAAATAACACCCTGTTATATTTTGTTAGATTGTTTTCTTACGTAACGTATAAGTGTTATATGTTACATATAAAATAATGTAAATAAAAAAATCAATGATCTACCAAAAAAAACACTTTAACGCTTTAAAACGCGACTTATTTGTAAAATTTATTTGACACCGATTTTTAACTACGTCCCGACTTTTCGAATAAGTTTAACTAATATATCGCGTTTGAAACCGTTAAAGTGTTTTATTTAAATGTGTACTACTCGCGTAAACTATAGACAGTATTTAAAAAACAACTGCTTCTTAAAAAACAAGAAAATATAAGAACATTACTCCTGAAAGACCGTCAGGTTAACGTAGATAATTATTTTATTGTCATAGGAATATATAAAACCGTAAATAGTTTTTCATCTTAATAGATGTATCTTGTAAATGTACCTATAAAAGTTTTGTTGGTTGCATGTGCAGTGATTTATCACCGGTGAAAAATAACGTTTGATATCACCTAGTTACAATGAAGTAAAAAATGGCCCGTGCCTACAGCGAGGACGGTCCACGACTCATTTACATAACTACCTTATTTAAGAACCGGGTCTCACTTGAATATTTTTATTCGGTTTGTTATGGTTTTTGTTGGTTTTATACGAATTTATCCGTAGCTAACCAGAGGATGCCAATTCGAATAAGAATTGGCAATAAATCTTCTTTTCTTTGGCCGTTTCAATTATGATGCTACGAATGTTGACTAAAAATTTTAACTAACTTAATTTGTATTATTATGTAATATGGCTTGTAAGGTGATTTTTTACCCTTATCAACTGCTTTATTAATGATTCCTACTAATATTATACATGTATACGTATTTGAAAATACATTAATGCTCGTACGTTTGTTCAGCTTTAAGGACTGTATTTGATACAATTTTACAACAAACTAAAGTAGGTAGGTAGGTTTGTAAATCGTAGTTTGTAAAACTTACGAACGTAATTACGATTACAAAAAAAACTATTTTAATTTATATTTACTACCCACATTATTTTAATATTGTGTCGACCGTCTCTGCAGCCAAATGGTTAAACGTATATTGCCTAGCATTGCGTTAAGCGCGAGAGGTTCTGGGATCAAATCCCAGGGAAACAAAAAATTGTCGAGCAGGGCACAGAATTCTGATCAACTACTTGCCTGTTAAAGAATGGATCACTGAAACGGACACACACATGTGTTCGCCCCATACCCCACGAGGAGGAAACGGGATTTCACTTTTCGGATGCTTTGCAGCAGCCGTGGTCTCCCTGTGACCACAGCTGCTGCAAAGCATCCGAAACGTCGGGCCGAAGTTAAAAATCATTTTCAAATAAGTTTAACTAATATATCGCGTTTTAAACCGTTAAAGTATTTTATTTAAACAAGTAGGTGATGTTTTTATCTCAGGATTCGACCTAATGACCTCTTGGAATTTACGCAATACGCTAAACGCGACTCAAGTTTGCAGGGGCTTAAATTTTTTTGTGTGCAGATGCTTCATTTACTAATAAGATAGATACTGTTAGTTAAAGTAAATTCACTGTCTATTATTTATCTCAACATAGGGCCTATTTTGTAAGAGAAAGGACCTAAAATTGATTGTTGCTGTAGTGCAATCAATCTCAGTTACAGTGAAATTTGTGTTATACTAGAAGAGATAAAGCAAAGTAGCATTAAATGCCTTTACCCTGTTTATACTGACACTTCCTCAATAATTCCATCAATCGACCTACTGTGGTTTATTTAGGGCATTTAGTCACGAACGGCTTATGACGGCGATTAAATATTATAAATCCTACATAATCAAGTAATTCACGCGAATACACATTTAAATAAAATGTGTTTAACGGTTTAACGCGAAATATGATAGCTAACTTATTTACAAATTGTTTTAAATACGACCGAATGTTTCGCATGCTTTGCAGCAACACAATGTTCACGGAAGGACTGAAGATTGAGTGTAAAAGTCAAATCTGCTACGCCAGCGCCGACTGTGTCCTATATGTATACTAGTATTTAGTATTTGGAGAAGCTTCCTAAAATTCAAAATAAGTTATTTATATATTTCACGTTTTAAACCGTTAGAAATGTAGTTTTATTTAAATCCTTCAGTTACTTATCTATTTCATTTGTTCATACATTATGAAATCTTTTTATTTTTGAACTATATTACCTATAGGTTCGTGGTGATTCATCGAGTTTCGGCTTCATTGTGTGGATCTCCGAATATTCAAAGTCAAAATGGGTGGACAGCGATCATTTTTATATGACTGTACTATTGAACCTTCCTTCAAGTAAACTCGTGGTTCAAAAACAGTGATTGTCTGTCTGTCTGTACAATTGGTATTACCACAATTATATACAATTACAGTTTACAATATTTAACTATAAGTATAGTCAATAGCATATATTTATTATTTGAAAGGCGTTCAGTACGCTCGTGTATAAAACACCGTAGACGTCTATTCTCATAAATAACACAGAATTGATACTTACGCAAGAGAATATTAAGCCGATCTTAGGAAACTTGGTATGTATCCGTTTTTGCGGAATCCTAGATTACACAGCTCATTAAAGTAAATACGTATTTGATGACTTCATATTGTATGTAATTGAACCTGAATCCTTTATTGGCTGGATGCAATTAATGCCTTGATACTTGTAAAGGTTTTGCAATACCAATATTTCACAGACATATTGTTTTGCACAAAAACCTTCCTTGAGAGTTTGTTGTGTTTTGGAAGTTATTTGTCGCTGATGAGAAAAGACTGTTGAATTCAATCTTTTATTAGCTAATATCGAAAGAACAATACTTAATGTTAAATAAATTCGAGAATAAACACTTTTTTTTCTTTCTTTCATACACACGAAAACTAATTTAAAAAATGTAGTATTGTATTAAAGAATATTTTTCGGTAATATATATTGAAAATCAAAATCATTTATTCATATAGGTAATGATTTTCAAATAGGTGTAACTAATATATATATAGCGTTTCAAACCGTTTAAGTGTTTAATTTATATGTGAACTACTCGCGTAAACTACAGACTAGCACTTCGTTCAATCTCACTCTGATATAACACTGCAAATAAAATTACCAGGATCGCATAGTCGGTGAGAGTGCAAACTACTAACATCTCATGTCACGATCATAAGCCACACATACAGTATCACTCGTACCTGTTCGCACGGCGTCATTTGTAGCAGATGAAATGTAAATGCGCATTCGTTACAGGCGCCCAGGCCCGCTCTGTATTCATGAGACCCTGGTACAAGGCATCGACGACGGCTGGAGACTGATTTATCCGATACAAAGTAATTTAACTAGTACGCCTATATACTTATGTTGCCTTAGTATCTTATTTTCATAATTAAGATATATACAATTGAATTAATTAATAAAAAAACTATAGTTTAGGCGAGTAGTAAAGATTTAAATAAAATATTAACCGTGGTAACGTTAACGTTTTAAACCGGTGTGGCCGACGTTTCGTATACTTTGCAGCAAGCAGCATCAGTCCCAGTTCAGGTTTCTCAGTTCATATTTCAAGTTTTAAACCGTTAAAGTATTTTATATAAATTTGTAGGTACTTCTCGCGTAGACTACAGTCAATATTTAATAAATTTCAATTTAGTAGTTTTAACTCATAACAAATAGTTATTATTTGACGGGAAATTTAAATTTAAAAAAATCGATGTCATGAGCGGGACTTGAATGGACATCCACAACTATTCGTGTTATCCTACTAATAATCTGCAATAAACATGTTAACAATATACAATAATAAACAAAATTCCACTCTTCAGCTTTGAACCATGCACCAAGTAAACGAACATGCGCATATTATCTACAAATGTGTCAACGATTTCCTGTCCTAGCCAGAATACTTTTTACACTTTTGTGCATTTCTCTTTAGATTTTCATAATAAAAATCTTTTACAAATGCAATTCGAATGTCAAGTAATCACAAGAACTCTTCTTTGGCTTAATAAAAGTATCCCATCCCCCCACTTTTAACCTCGCAATGTAAGTCCTTTAAACCTAAGCTAAGGTTTCTCTAAGGATAGACCTACCGCCACTAAATCAATGATGATTAGGCGTGAGGGTGGCGACACCTACTTTAAAATTTCTTGTTGTAATATAATACTTTAAACGGTTTAAAACTGGAAATATATGATGAAACTTTATTACAATTTTTTTTTAAGTGCTTCGCAGTAGATGTGGTCGCGAGTGACTTTTTGACTAAGAGACTACTCGCTACAGGCAATACTGAAACTCCTTGATGGTAAAAATCTAAATATCTTGTCCAATCCGGTATTCGAATACTGGACCATCTGAATTGAGGTCCATAGTACGCGATCAACTAAGCAGTGGCAGCAACAAAGTAAGTGTCCATAATTGTAAGCATAAAGGGTCTTTTCAAATTGCTTAACAGCTTTTTCTTTGCTGATGAAGCTCTCTGCCATTGTTGGTATTTTGGCAAGAGTTTGACGTAACCAGCAACATCATACAGCACAGTGCCTTCAAACAAAAACGCTTGCGGGCTCAAATCTGAAGCTGAATTTATGCGTTCCATATACCGAGCTGATGCATCTCCGTGTCACCCGACCGGCTCCAATTAAGTTCAACTCACGACCTCATGGTCCAGCCACGAAATAAGCGATTTTTCATAAGCTGTTTAGTCCTCTTCACTTGTGGGGAACTAGAAAGTAAATATTCCTTAATAATTTATAATTCAGTAGTCTTATATTATTAATAAGACTACTGAATTATAAATTAAAAATTTGAATATAGTTTATTCAAAGTTTGTTTGTTTAAACGTGATAATCTCAAGAACTACAGGTTAGAATAGATTTTTTTTTGTTTGACAAAGACCATTTATGTAAGAAAGTTATATTTAAATAATATCACGCTGCGACTCCAGTATTTCTTCGTTGCTATAACGAAGAAATACTGGAAAATGTAGAAATACAGGGAAAATTATTCATCTTTGAGATCTTTCGTTGCGTATCTAAAACAATGTCCGTGACAGTCTATCTTTTAAGATTAACGTTACGTCGATAGTTTAATTTATAAAACTGTGGAGGTTGATTGTAAGAATAGTCGCGGGCATAGCTGTTTTTGAATATCATATATTAACTTTAATATACAAAATTTAATATACAATAACAGTTTTATAAGAAATAATAACTTTTTTATTTCTTATAAAACTGACGGCGAAATATCAAGAACCATTTCGAATCACGCTGTCTGAACAGCTTGCAAATAGAAGTAGCTTATCGCATAGTTGCAGCGAAATCATACGCAACCATGAAACGGTTTAAAACAATGTGATGTGGCATTTAAACCGCTAGTTTAACGGCCCAGGTCAGGAAGCACGCAGATCGTGTCGGAGAAAGCGGAAAGCGGGCCGCGGCTAGATCACTACCATTAGCTTGTTATGCATGTTGGATACAGTAATTAATTGTGGCAGGACGTTTTGTTGCACCAATGCACTATCCTGGTATGTGGGGCCATTCGTCTATCTATCTGGGTTACAAAATCTATGTTAATATTAACAAGTATTAGATATCTATTTATGAATTTCCAAATCCAAATAGCGCATCTTGCTTTAATTGTATGTGGCTGGAATATTTCACCTTTTAGAAGAAGACTGTTACATATCAAAAATGTGATTTATTTTTTTTTCAATAGAATAACTCAAAATCGTGTGAGAAACACGACGACATGCTATGAAAACATTTTGGCTCAGCAATTAATTGTAAGTACCAATATTGTGTCCTTATAAACTTATACCGCAAAAAGCTAAATTTAAATAAATGCAAGTTTTATTAGACAGCGAGGACGATAGAATTAAATACAATAAGAAACTCCCAAATTATAATTTCTACATCATTTTACAGTAATTGTAAACTTCTAGAGTTGAAATTACACACCTAACGACGCTGTAAAGCATCCAGAAGATCGGGCCGCAGTTAAATTAAAAATATGTTAAGGTACAGACAATAATTATTTTATTCTTAATAATAATAAGAGAAAAAATGCAGTTGATGCTTAGAAGATAAATCATGAAACATTCAATGATATAAAGTAGTAACGATTTACGAAGATGCAAATCGCTATAGCAGTTGCTTTTCACGTACTGACAGACTGTTATTACACAATTTGCGTAATTATAGCTCCGGTAATAGGAACAACATACAGTGCCGGAGAAAAATCGTTTCGTCTTACGATACCGATAACTTATAGTCTTTTTAGAAGTCATACTATCCTACTGCTTTGCTACTAGCACTGTGTTACATATACTTATATCTAAGTAAGTAGCAAAGCAAGATCGAGATAATAGTTTAGTTAGAGAATTAAAGGTTCATTAAATTAAAATAGGAAAGCTTAATATTTATTTTTAAATAAAACACGTTTAACAGTTTACAACACGACATGTATTAGTTAAGCTTATTTGAAATTTATTTATTTACGGCCCGACGTTTGGCATGCTTTGCAGCAGCCGGCTGCAGGCTTGCAGGAATATTATTACTATTTAATATCTAACTTTCAGGTAAACATCAATATTTTTTATATATATATATTGATTAGAAATATAATAACTTTCTGTAACTAAATATAAAGAGTTTGTTTAAATACTGTCTATAGTTTGCGCAAGTAGTACACATTTAAATAAAACACTTTACCGGTTTAAAACGCGATAATTAATAGTTAATAGTGTATTATTTAAATCGCATACTCCTTTCAGTGCTAAGCAAAATATTTCTCAGGGGCCGTTGCAACGTTTATGACAAGCAACATAATTTGTCTACGCGTGTCTGCGGTGAATCTTGTTAGCCGTCTTGCGGTTTGACATTATCTCCAACCACAAAACCCTTGGAAGTCTCGTTAGTGACAATTTACTTGTACTTTTTCAACTCTAACCGCGAGCTACTACTTGTTGTTATGTTTTATAAGCCAATTGAGATGACACAGTATTGTCAGATATATATAATTTAAATAAAACACTTTAACGGTTTAAAACGCGATATATCAGTTAAGCTTATTTAAAAAGGGGTTTTTAACTTTGCAGCAGCCGTGGTCATGGAGAGACGAATAAGGTTAACTCCGCGTTTTAAACCGTTAAAGTGTTTTATTTAAATGTGTACTACTTGCGTAAACTATAGACAGTATTTAAACAAACTGTTTATATTTAGTATAAAGCTGTAACAGAAAAGAAAATAAACTTTTTAGTTCAAAGGTTTCTAGTTCAAATCGAAACTATAAACTTACAGAAGTCATCGTGAACTTGGCATACTTCTAAATTATAATCAATGTATGTAATATATTAAATAAATGACTTGAGTTAGATTTTGAGTTTAAAAACAGTAGATTTCCGAGTATTTAGTTTCATCAAAATCTGTCTATCCGATTCAGTGGTTCAAACCAAACTGAAAAACAATAATGTGTTTGAACGAAACAAATTCTGATTATTTTTTAGTGAGTAAATAATTCTCATAAAATTAATCACATACAATTTTTATTTACTCCAACGAACTCGTGAGAAAACGAAATAAGTAAAACATTTTTTTCGTAATCATATTCATATGTTCGTAATAACATAAAGCGCTCTTTGATATATTGCTTCTGAAATCAACTCGACAGAAAACGACACTTAATTTATAGCATGAACGAATTGATATAACGATGTAGAATAGATTTATCAGCTGTTACAGATGTGAGTGTTGTGAAACTGGTTTTTTGTGATAAAGGAGGACAGACAAGCATGCAAGCATAACAAGATGCGCTATCGACCCATTGCCAAAGCCATAAATGGGTCGACAACTCATCTTATTAACGCAACTCAAAAAGCAAAGGGAAGTTTAATCAACATCACAGATTATTCATCTGTGGTACTGGTATGAATATGAGTCGCTAGTCAATCCAGTCACAAAGTATCAGAGCGGACGTCCTCATGGGTACGAATCCCGGAATCAGGCTAGGGTTGACCAAGGAAACCTCGGACGAGCTACTTGTTTGTAGAAAAAAAAGTCAGTAAAAGAAACCACTTTCGTATTTACTATTTATTTTAACTACGGCCTGACGTTTCGAATGCGTCGCAACAGCCGTGGTCACGGAGGGTTTAAAGATGGCGAATGTCTGTAATGTCAAACTCAAAACTGCTACGCTAGCGCCATCTGTTTCGTGTAAAAGTAGTCCCGTACTTAAAATAATGATTTTATATGTTAACCAATATATTTCGCGTTTTAAACCGTTAATAGTGATGTTAATATACATATTCAATTCAAGGCACATAATAGCCCACGATCCGCAAGGATTACCTCAATCGATGCCATACTGAATAACATATGATTTAGTATGAATAGAATCGAATAATAAATCAATCACGAAACTGCGATTATTCTCGATTGTTCTCGGAGGCTTCACAAAGGCTCCGTATTCGCTATTGTCTCACGGCTTAACTTTGCATCGGAAATTCTCGGTGCCTTATAGAAATGTGGGTCATTATGTTCTTGCGATATATCCTCCTGATATGAACGAGAAAGTGTGTGGATGTTTGATTTCCTTTACACTTCAACGGCTTGACTAAAATTGATAAAACAGCGTCAATGTTGCTGACACACGGAAATATGTTGAAGGCTTTATGCTTTTGTTGAAAAAAGTCTTACTTGTTAAGATAAGTGAGTTTTAAAAGCCGCACATGTTATGTTAGATTGCAGGTATTCAATTAAAATGATCTATAGATAGATTTAATTTCGGATCAACATTTTATCATACATTTAATAGCTATACTCTCAAAATGTATTAGTTAACATATTTTTAACTGCACCACTTTGCTAGCTGTAAACAAACAACAAAAATTAAAAAAAAAGCCAAAAAAAAATATTTTAGTTTTCTTTTTATTTTATTTTACATAATTATTACAAGCAGAAATTCAATTTTCCCTTAGAGATAAAACCATGTTATCAACTCGCTTACTTGTAATTACACATACAAACATAATGACGATGGCAAATATATTTATCCCCTTTGTCATTTAATTATGCACCTAGGCAGATGAAACGTAGCCAAGATTTAGCCTAGAGGATCTAATTTTAACTTGATACAAATTGTCTTCTTATAGCGCTGTGTAATAACTCAATTCGAAACAGAGCACAAAAATAATACAACGATACACCATGTGAACGGCTTCATTGTTGTTTTTAGGGTACCGTGGGAAAATATCCAAAACGGTGTCGTTAAATCCGTAAATTGTAAGTACCTATAACATTTTTTCAAAAATATACATACCTAAAGTTCATGAACATTTCTTATACATTTCAAACATATCGCGTTTAAATCTGTTAAAAAAATTATATTTAAATGTGTATAACTCACATAAATAATAGACTAGGTTAAATATTTGGCAAGTAGAATATTTTACAAACAGATCTCGAACTCACGACCAATGTATATGTGATAAATACGTCTCTTGTACCTATACGACACATTTGTGCCTATATGAAAATACAATTCATTTAAACAGACTTTAAAAATTCACAACACATCCAGGACTTGAACTAGCATCGGACG